AGCAGGAATTGAGCCAGGATGTATGTTATGTATTGTATGCATGAGCATTATTGTGAGAAGCAAATACATTAGAGACATCCAGAGAATTCCATTTTCCTGGGTGTGGGTTGTTGTTGTACTAGTCCTGGGTAGAATTTACAGTCTACATCGAACTAACATAAATTTCTTTATCATCTCTGGAAAATGCAGGAAGTGAACCGCAGATGTTATTAAATTCTGTAGCTTAGAAATTACACATTCTTCTATTGAATGTTGATATTAAAAATATCATTTAAACAAGACAAGTTAAACTTGTAGAGTTTTTGAGATTTTCTTTCTAGAATTCACTATACTGGCAAATTGAAGAATGTCTAATTAATTAACATTTATCTTCTCTAATAAAATGTCATGTGGGCTAGAACTGTGTTTTCATTTTAACTGCTACATTTATGGCACTTAGCAGAATGCCTTTCATATGGTAGGGGCTTGATAAAGGTCTTGATGTCCAGCTATAATTGCAGATTTTCTAACTTCTTATTTCAGTTCTATTAGTTTTTACTTTATGTATTTTTTAGTTCTGTTGTTCAGTACATATATATTTAGCACTGCTGTGTATTTTTAGTGGAGTAGCTCTTTTATCATTATATAATGTTCTTTTCTGTAGCTGATACTTTTCTTTCCTCCAAAGTCTACTTTACCTGATATTCATATGGGCACTCTTTCTTCTTTCAACTAATATTTGCATGGTATGTGTATATTATGTAACATAATATATACTATGTTACATAATATATATTATAATATCACATATTGTACTTAATATATATTCTACTCTTTTGCTTTTAGTCTACCTACATCATTATGTCTGAAGTGAATCTCTTGTAAACTTCAAATATTTGAGTACCATTTTTAAATCCATCTTACACTTTTAGTCTTTAATGAGCATTTTTAGACCACTTACTTTTAATGTAATTAATAATGAGTTAGGGTTTAAGTGCCTGTTTACTCCTGTTTTCTCTTCATTTTGTTTTATAGTTTTCTGTCTTCTTTTATATACTGCTCTGAGGAGCTTCTTTCGAATGATTTATTCTATTTTGTTTTATGTAGTGTTTAAATGTATATATATATATATATAAATTTATTAGTGTTTTTCGTTTGTTTGTTTGTTTTTGGAGAGGTTTTCGCTATAGGGCGTGTGCACTCACCAGACAGACAGAGAGAGACAGAGAGACAGAAAGCGAGAAATCACCCCTCAGGGGGGATGGTCACGCCGCAATCCCTTCTCCTCCGTTCTCCTCTCGGGGGGATCTTGGGCACGCATGCACACGCGCCCAGTGTGAGTTTTAAGTCACCGGATCGGGGACGCGAACCACAGTCAACTACGTGGGAGTCCAGCAACATAGCCATTACGCTAACTGCTGGGTCCCATTAGTGATTTCTTTAGGTATCGTTATTTATCACAGTTTACTGATATCATATCAATAATTTGAGTGAAGTGTAAAAAGAATGCCTCATTTTGTGATCTTTATCTTTTCCTGTTTATTAAATAAGTATCTTAATTACTATTTCATTTTCTTTGAGAGGTTTTTGCGTGTGCTCGCCAGAAAGAGACAGAGACAGGAAGTGGGAAATCACTCACCCCCCCAGGGGAGGATGGCCATGCTGCAATCCCTTCTCCTCCATTCTCCTCTCAGGATCTTGGGCACACATGCACATGCACCCGGCGTGTTTTAAGCCACCGGGTCCAGGACTTGAACCACGATCAACTACATGGGAGTCCAGCGACATAGTCATTACACTAACTGCTGGTCCCAAAGCACAATTTGCTCTATATGTATATTTAGAATATCAGGCAGTACCATTATTTTTATTTAAGGTTTTTCATATAGGATGCTTGCGTTCATTAGAGAGAGACACAAACAGAGAAATTTTGAAAGGAAAAGTGAGAAATCATCATCCCCCCAGGAGGGATGGCCACTCCATAGTCCCTTCTTCTCCATTCTCATCATGGGATTTGGGGCATGAATATACAAGCACTCAGTGTAATTTTCAAGCTCCAGTAAGTCATGTCGGATTCCATCACTTTAACCACCTCTTCACCTATTGCCCCTGAGATGGTATTATTTTTGTTATATTTGAATTCTTTTTCAATTCTGCCTCTTTTTTATCTTTTTCCTGAACTGCACCGGCATGAATGCTAGATTTTTTAAAACAATCCTACAAGTGTCTAATCTTCTACCCATTGCTTCAGTCTATGTTGTATATTGTTTAAATGGTGTGATATCCATTGTATCTTTGTGTTCACTAATTCTTTCCTCTATTCCCTTCATTCCATTATTGCGCCACCCATTTGGTTTTTGTTTTATGTCTAATATATTTTTTTAGTTCTAATATTTTTATTTGGTCCTTCTTTATATTGTCTATGTCTCCTGCAAGACTTTCTGTTTGTTACTGAGGCTTTCTGTTTTCCTATTCATTGAGAATATAAAATTGCTTCTTGAAGCATTTTTATTACAATGACTGCTTTAAAATATTTGTCAGATATTTCTAACATCTCTTTCATCTCAATGTTGGCATCCATTAGTTGTCCTTTTTTATTTAACTTGAGATCTTTTTGTTTCTTGACATGACAAGAAATTTTTTTAACCTAAACCTAGACATTTTAGAAATTGTGTTATGCTGAATTTTATTTAAGCCTTCTGTTTTAGCTGTCTTCCTTTGACATTGTTCAAGAAGATAATAAGAGGATTTGGCTCAATATTTGTAGGGGGTAGTGTAAATTCAGATTCCCCATCCAGTCTCCCTATGTTGACACTCAAGAGTAGAGGTGCTTCTTTAAGTACTGGGTACTGGAGATCAGGAGAGTTCCACCTTCCAACTAGGGTTTCATTGATAATCATCTGGTTGGAAGTGTAGGAAAGCCTGATTACAGCTTCCTCTGTAGCCTCTACTGACATTACAGTGTACATGTGGGAGGGATGATAAGAAATATATTTGTTATTGCTGGACTGTGGTGAATGTCCTGGCTCTCCACTGAGCCATCTTTGGGCCATCCCTGCAGGGATTAAATGGGGTTCTTCTTACTACTGAGTGGGGGTACAAGTCCAGGCTCCCCAGATGATACCACTGAAACAACTGATACCACAGAGAGACTTGGCACTATTGGACAAGGATTAAGTTCCCAGAAACCTAGGACTGGTCTCTCAGATGCAGCTTGGATACATGTAAATGGGGCCATAGTTTTCTCTCTGGTATTTAGCTTGGGTAGAGCAGGTAGTGTCTGAAAATATGCTTACTACACCATCCCCTTCCCTGTCTTTTGACTGGAGAAAGCAGGCTTTAATGAAATTTAAATTTAAGAAAAAGAAAGAAAATTGCCTGCACCATTTGGTCTCTCTGAGTTGTTGGTTCTTCAGCAATGTGACTAGGACTTATGAGACCAAAAGAAATCCAAGGAACTTTCTACTCAGTTGTTCCCTGGGTTCTAAGTTTTTATACATGTTTGCTGTCTTTGTTCCACAATTTATAGTCTTCTTAGGTTTGTTTTCTACATAATTTTCAAAGTATTCTAGTTGTGCTTAATAGGAGAAATAGAAAAAATTATGCTACTACATCATCCCAGAATCGAAAGTCCCTTAATCTGACAATTAGAAAACAAAACATGGCAAAAATAGGCCACTCTCTCATTGACAAGCAAAACCTGATTCGTTTTGCAATCTAGTCACTGAACTATCTGAACAACTATGCTATTAAAATGGTATTGTGTTTGTTTTTTCCATGATAGGTATAACCTATGATGAATATTTTATAATGTTGTGTTGTATGTACATTAACCTATACTTTTTAAAATTGCCATTTGATTCCAGGGTATGAAATAGGCTTGCTTGAGGCATATCACACCTGAATTAAAGTTCATCAACATTTTTTAAGGTCTCTGCCAAGCTTCTGACTTCTTTAGTTTAGGGGTAAGGATAGTGGTAAGAAATAGTTTAGTCCCCTGACCAGTTCTAGAAAATCCAGTAACATTATATGCCCATCCCTGTCTCATGTCCATGATTCATGACAATTCTTCCACTTACCCAAGTAAGCATAGGTTCTCCATCTTCTAATTTATCTAAGAGCTTACTTATTAACGGTATTTTTCTGATTTTTTTGAGAGATTTTTGGGATAGGCCATGTGCACTCTCTGGAGAGACAAAGAGATACAGAGAAACAAGTAAGAAATCACCCCCCAGGGAAAATAGTCATGTTGCAATCCCTTCTCCTTTTTTCTCCTCTAGGAACTTTGGGCGTGCATGCACATGTGCCCAGCATGATTTTAAACCTGCTGGGTCTGGGATTCAAACCACATTCAACTATGTGGTAGTCCAGCAATATAACCATTGTGCCATCTGCTACTCTTACTACTGAGTGGGGGTATAAGTCCAGGCTCCCCAGATTATACCATTGAAACAACTGATACCACAGAGAGACTTGACACTATTGGACAAGGATTAAGTTCCCAGAAACCTAGGACTGGTCTCTCAGATGCCACTTGGATACTTAAATTTAAAAATATCCATCTGCTGGTCCCATTAATGGTACTTTTCTGTTTTCTAAGAGACTTAA